AATTACGGAACAGCATTGAAATGATGTATGTGGAGTACTTACTTAATAGTTAACATTAACAAAGTTTCATTTCAGCTACATAGAACAAAGAAATCAAAAAGAGGCTTAATCCGAATAATCAAGTTGTAATTACATGCATATGCTGAGACTAAATTCCCATTCCCTGTCATCTACAAATGTAACTTATTTATAAGTCTGTGCATGTTCTACTTTAAAAGTAAGTTGGATATATTGGCTATGACATCACAGATAATGAGAATGATCCATAATATGTTAATATTACCATTATCACTACGAAAACTATTTCAGATTTCATAGATATTCAGATGGATATTCGTAAGTTGACATGTTTTAATAGTGAGTTTACTTCTCAGTCATTCATTCATATTTATTTTGTCTCTATTTATCTTGTTCTAATCCTATCACATACTCGTTTTAATCAATTCTCAGCATTATTTGTATCCATTGTCTGATTCTTCTAAAATCTAAGCATATAACTGTCAGTCTTTGCAATCACTCAAACCTTATATGAAAATAAATGTTCATTCTTTCACTCAACTCTATCTCTCTCTCTCTCCTGCTCTCTGTGCCTATCTCTCACCCACACATACTCAACTTTTAGTCGTCTAATTCAACTTGTTTCCACTTTAAATTACATAAGAAGTCAACTATTTTTTTCGCTCTAAAGCAAATGTCTTAATCTGTTAATGTCTATATATCTATGAATGTATAATATAGAGATTAATTAAAATTTTGAAAAATCACATGTCCCTTGCCACATTCTCACATTAACATATAATTGTGATGGATATATACATATTTGCATCAAGAGTTATTCACTACTTATATGTAAGGTATCAAATCATTATATTCATGTCTATTTATGAAATACACAAATAGTTATTAGAGTAATGCACAAGAATGAAAGAACTTTCCATTTTAAAAATAATAGAAAAACTCATTACAACTTTTTTTAAAAATATTTTAGCGTGAACATTTTAAATAATTTTCATTAATTTCAAACCACTAATGAAGAGTATCGTAGTTTATTCCATAATAAAGATTTTATAAAATCTTATAAGTTGGTAACCTTTATTAAGGTTTATTTTGTTAATATCATTACACTACTATTAAATTTGATAGTAGTTAAGAGTGGCTAAAAAAGAATTTCTGCCATGTATATTGTAGTAGTATTTTCATGCACTTTTTAATGTATTAATCTTTCTTTTCTTAACATAAACCACTACTTACAGATTTATCATATATTGGTTTACTGTATATTATCACTATTTTTCGATGCTATTCTTGTATTACTTAAACTAGTTTACCACATTTCAAGTTATTTTAACTAATTGTACACACTAAAAATCATCATACTTATGAAATACCTATGATTTGTTAAAAGTAAGTACCTATTTTTCTTTCATATTAAATCTTCCCACATAAAACCGCCTCAGTAACTTGTCCACATTTACTATCTTAGATTACTGAACATTTCAATCACATTCTCTATAATAATGCACACTATTTATGAATACATATATCTATATCAGCATGCAGACAATATATATATATATACATATACATGTATTTATGTATATAAAGATACTATACATAAATAATGTCAAGTTATATATGTATACCCTACAGTTATATACTATATGTGTTCTACACTGTTGTCATGTTTTTTTTGGAATATCTTGAAAATCACTTACACCTAATTTTTCATTCTTTTTTTAAAAATAAAATATAAATGACAATGCTACAAAAAATTCATTTCATACAATGTTATAGTTCCAACCGCACCAACAAATTTACGAGGTATATCACTGAAACCGACAAATATTCATTTAACATGGACACCACCTGATGATATGTCAAATGATAGAAAATTACTTGGATATAGATTGAGATTTCGACCTGCCACTACTACCCCTACTGTTGTAGATCAAATAAGTGATATTAAATCACCATTGTCATCAACATCTAATGAAGAAGAAATTACTAAACAGAAACAAAAGTCATTCATCACTGAAACACGCGATATTGATGCAACAGCAACACAGTATTTATTAACTGATCTAGAACCAAGTACACGATATTATTTAAGTTTAGCCGGTAAATCAATACATGGTTATGGAGTAGCTGCTCAAATTGAAGTTCAAACGAATGATTACCGTAAGTTTTAATTAAAAGTCATTTGTTTTCATTTAAATTTTAACTGTATTTAGGGGAACAATTCTTGATGATGCTTAAGGTTGTTTTTTGTTGTTGATATTATTGATTATTTAGTTCAGGTTCAGGTTCAAACGAGCACAAGCCAAACTTTTTCAGTTTGAGAAATCGAATACTAAAAACAATCCATTATATAAGACAGTGTAATGAAAGCTTAGTTTATTCATTTATACTAGTTAACATTGATGTAAATTGAAAGCTTTGAAATTGGGACAATTTTAACTATTATCAGTGGTAATTGTTCTAAACACAAGAAATCACTGTCAGTAAAAGCTAATTTTAAACCAAGATTTATTTGGTTTATTTGAATTTTGAAATCACTACAAACATAATTATGTCTGGAACCTAAATAAAGAAACACCTGACTTTAAATACGCCCGATTGTTAAAATTTGCATCATGCCTTTATTTTTTTTTTCGCCTGTTCATTTTTGTAGACCAGTATAGTCTCTTTGTTTACTTAACATTCTAGAATACTGACCTCTGACCAAGTAATAACATTTTATTAAAGTTTTCCAAAATCCATTGAGAGGAATATCATATCTGCTTTTGAAATTTCTATATTTATCGAACAACGTAGCCTATGCATCATTTGATAATGCTGTTCAAAATAAACTGGTCCAGTATTTAAGAGACATGAATTACAAGTTATTAACCGTGTTTTACTTTTCAAAGCCCAATACAGATACTTGTACCTGAAATCTGTCATTCACAACAAATGACACTAATTCATATATGAAGTACAATTATTATTATTGTTAACGATTTACGAGATTTCAAAAGCAAAATTTACTTCTGAATTTCACAAACAACCCCCTTTGCTGCTACTACTACTATTAATAATAATAATAATCACTTAAACGAAGTCCAAAAAAATCGAGTAAATTTTGTCGGATAAAAACAAGAAGACTATTTAAAAGTTCATATGACTGATGTGACCTGAATAAATTCAAATCAGTGCCTAACCATAAACTGCTAACCACAATTCAAATATACCGTAAAACACATATAAACGGTTATATTAGATAAGTTATAGTTGAGATCATGAGTCAATTGAAGCTAGATTACCATGGAAAACCTAAACCTGATAGGTCCTGGATTCGAATTTCGACAGGCGGGGTCGTGGATGCGCACTGCTGAGGAGTCCCACAGTAGGGTATGACAGCCGTCAAGTTCTTCCAAGTTTTCCACAGTGATCTAGTTTTAATCGACTCCTGATCTGAACAATAAAAATTGCTGTAGTTTCCACAGAGCCTCTTCAGATAAGTTATACACAAAATACTATATTTTTCATTAAATTTTTTTGTCATAGTTTCAACTTGTACCAGTGTTTTTTATGACACCAGTTTACTCTATATTTGCTTTTCACTATTATCACATAATTTGAAATCCTATTTCCTAATGAAGAAATAGAATTCAATCACTACACTGTAGATTAATTATTATAAACGTCAATGTAGTCAATGTATTCCTACAAGAAATTATTCTTGATGAGAATAGTACAGTAGTAATGTTTGTTTACTATAACACTTGCTGAGATGGATTAAAATGTCACATGACATATCTATCTTCCTCAAGCTTTCATATATGCTTTGAGTATTAGGTTCAATCAGCATGAAACTAGAGTCAAATAGAACATCCTACTGTAATAGTCTTCGACTATTTTTGCGTGAAACAATGAATAAAGTACTATTATAATTCAAAACAACTTCTATCTTATACCTTGTTGTAGATTGTATTTGGCTAGTTTCTATTTCGTTTGTTTTAACTTATTCATTTTTTCATCCAACATCATTAAATTATTCAGCATTTGATCTACCTTCACCAAAAAATGTACAATTACGTACACTGACAAATGTTAGTGCAAAAATTTGTTGGGACCAACCAAATTTACCAGAATTAATGTATTCTATAATATCTTATGAAATTTTATTTGGATTATCGAATGAATCGATTAGTCCATTAAATGCTACTGGGATTATACCATTACCACAATCAATATGTTGTTGTTTCACTATGATGCATTTACGCCCCGGTACTGATTATCGTATTTGGTTACGTTTAGTCAGTCATAAAACTCTGCCAACAACTATTGTCAATAATTATGATGATAATAATGGATTTATGAATAAAAATGTGGCACCATGGTCGTCGATCGATTCAAAGAATAAAATCACTGGTCCAGTGTCTGAACTACAGGCATTTCGTACATTAATAAGTGGTGCGTAAATATGAATAGTTGGCTATGCTTTTGCTAGCTTTGTTGCTCTTACCTTAATCAGTAGCGATGCACGCATGATTAAATATTAACAAGAATGAAATCAAGCATGAGTTTTTTGGTGTTTTTTTTACTTGATAATAATGTTGCATGCAAATAAGCTCTGGTAAACCCCCATTTTTTAACATTAAATGAAACCCATTGCATACAAACAGAACACGGAATTGATTAAATAATTTATCCTCTCGTTCAGTCTGTTTACTAATGCAATGTACCAGATTTAAAGCAACATGCTAAAAAACTACTTTATTTGCCTTCATTACATTAGATAGCAAATGCGAAGAGTGGTTTATTGATTCATATTTTTCCCACTTAATTTCTTCGGTATCCTTTTTTTCTAAGATGTAAACATAATATATTGAATAATGGCTGTCAACAAAATTCATAATGAGCATTTCGTTTTAGTTATGATCTATATGTACCTGTATTCTACTGTTGATACTAAAACTGAGACTTAAACATGGTGTTTATCACTTTGAACCCTTGAGTGTTATTTAGAAAGGTTCTGAGATTCCAATTTTCCTTCACATATTCAATGGATATGATATACAATACTTACTATCAGTGTATATATTTCCCCTTTTTTAACATCTAGCACAATATTCTCATTTAATAGTTGAAATCATTTGAGTCCCGTCAGGGATGCCTTCCTATTCATTGTAGCTATTATTCGATACTTTTTATCTAATACTTACTTTATTTGAAAATATCAAGTCCAACCTTGGCATTGATATCTACAAACTTATCAGTAATTTCAGGTTTTATGCTGATATCTGAAAACTTAGACCATTCAGTTTAAACCAAACGGTCTAAATTTCTAATTTCAATCAATTCGTGATATAACTCGACCATCTCCCAATACAATTGGTGGGTGACTATCACAAGCTCCAGTGATTATACTTCACCGATCATAGCTTGTCATCACATCTTCAGAAACCATATCTTAGAATTAGTCACTACGAATCCCATGAATAACGTTACTAAAAAATTCCCATAATAATTGTGACGTCCTTGTTCCTTCTGTCCACTAATATACAAGTGAGTATTTGTCCTGATCTAGTTAAGGCCTTTACAATATAGGGTATCTACTTCAAGAGTGACGAAAACTATTCCGATAGGTTGACAAGTGAAAGAGAGAAGACAAATCGACAGGATCAGTAAACGATTTATTTGAGATTCATATTAACACAAAAAGATGTAACGCATAAATAATTAAAGAAACATCAGGGTATGAAAAATGGAGTAAAAATAGTTATATTTAGATTACAACAATCTTGAGATAGAAACGAGTATGTCAGTGAATCATACATCAAATGAAAGTGGGCGATTTATAGAGAGAACCAAGAACAAAACTATATGTTCCCCGAAATGGCTTCCGTTGTTTGTCATTACCTTTTTATATTTCTCTCTTCACATCGCTAAGATAAAACATATGTCTTATGCTTCCTAGTTTTCAATGGTTTTCTAACTAAGACCAGTTCATAATGCAATCTATAAAATTTAATAATCTACACAAATTAAATATGGTATTAGAATGGTTACTTAGTTTTGCATTTACGTTGTGACTCAGGTTTATCTTTGACAGCTTATGTACTATTATCACTAATATCTGAGCTACCTATTCCTGCCATCTAGACATTTCAACAAGTTATCTCATTTAGTTTGTTTCAGTACATCATTAGGGCTATTAATCACATAACCTATTCAGGTGCGTTTCTAAAAAGTGTACAACCCTTCGTTTTGCAAGTTACAAAAGACCCAGAGATATCATGGTTACTGGCAATATGCATCAAAAATAACGTACATTATCTAGATGTCAATTGACTGAACTGATAACTTATAACTGGCAATCACTCAATAATTATCATCAGGATCGATCAAGAAGTAAGAAACGGAAACTTGTTGAAATACTTTGTGCTGAAAATTGTACCAAAAATATAATATTGAATAAAGTCATTAATAATAATACTATGTGATGCCAACATTAACTGACTAAAGTAATTTTATATAGTTTCATTACATATAGTTTACTTCATTAATTTTAAATGTAATACTACTATACTCATAAAGAATAATAGCTCAGTTACCTTTATGAAAACACTTCTAAAGCACTTAAATTAACTAAACCTATTTTATTTTTACATATATTATCAAGTCATTATGTTTTGTCAATTTTCAGTAGTATGTTAAATGAACTTAGTTGTTGAAATTCACTTCCGAAACAAATTCAATCCAATTAATATGTACATAGTTAAACTGTAAGAAATGGATTATTATTATTATTATTATTATTATTATTATTATTATTAGTAGTAGTAGTAGTAGTAGTAGTAGTAGTAGTAGTAGTGGTAGTAGTAGTAGTAGTAGTAGTAGTAGTAGTAGTAGTAGTAGTAGTAGTAGTAGTAGTAGTAGTAGTAGTAGTAGTAGTAGTAGTAGTAGTAGTAGTAGTAGTAGTAGTAGTAGTAGTAGTAGTAGTAGTAGTAGTAGTAGTAGTAGTAGTAGTAGTAGTAGTAGTAGTGATAATGTATTTAGGCCAGAGAGGACTTGTACAATTCCACCAAGCAAATAGATACAACTACTAACCTTGACAGAAACGTACAATTTATAATTCTAAATAACTAAGATACATTGTGGTATTGTAAATACAAAATACGTTAGGAATAATATTCCAAATCCACTGTGATTTAGTTGTCTTTTCAATAATGATAGTTCTATAATGTTAAAGATTCCCATTGTGAAAATTAGAACAACACATATAAGCGAACAATTGTTTTCAATTAGATCGTCATCAGGCTTTACTCTAATATACATGAATATTTATACGAAAATTTTAAACCAATCAAGGCAATATGAGTCAATAATCACAATGAAATAGAATAATTTCAATGGTTAAGATCATGAGTCAGTTGAAGCTAGACCACCATGGAAAACCTGGAAGCACTGGACGGCCGTTTCGTTCTGGTATGGGACTCCTCAGCAGTGCGCATCCACGAATAAGTCACTACACCTAATAGGTAAAAGTACAAGTTGATAGTACGAAGACAGGTGAACAGATAGTGGTAAGAATAATAAACTACAATAACAAAACTCTTATCAATAGTTAATCGTTGGAAATAGAAGGTCAAATAAACATGGGTAAATAGACTAGGAATAGTAATTACAAAACCTTAAAAATCATTACGTAATAAGATGTGTGTAAATAATTAGATAGTGAAGAATACAAAGAGGCGGATAATGACAAACAAATAATGGATGTGGAAATAAGGTTAACAATAACACAGATAGAATAAAATAAATAGTGATAATAATAAAATTTAAAATAAAAATGAAAATAAAAAATTGTTAGTTAAGTTATAACTGGCCATGGAAGGGATAGGGGAGTCACGTATTTCTTCTGTACACATAGATTGGGGTTATATGTACGAATTCCAATGGCTTCAGCTATATATAGGAGACGGGAACGGACTCCGTCGGGAAATGATGGAGGTATACGATAGATAACTCGAAATGATTTCGATTTCTCTACTGCATGACCGCTATCAATAAGATGTGCTAGTATAGAACTGCGAATAGTTTTTCTCTGACCCTTTATGTACCAAGTTGGTAGATGTTCACTCATTCGTTGGTTAAGTTGGCTAGTAGTACGCCCTATATAGCTATCTCCACAGGAGCAGCTGAATTTGTAAATGCACATGGAAGAGGTCAACTCAGGTAACTTATCCTTCGTTTGAGTAGACATCGCTGGTCGACAAGAGAAGGTCAACGCAAGATTGGCTGCGTAGAATGTCTTGGTGATTACTTTGGTTAACCTATATTTCAGAGTGTCACTAGCACTTTCATGTATAAAGGTTTCTTACGAACAGTCGAAATCTCCGACTTCTTTATTATATCCTGCATGTATTTCTTGATGAACGCGCTGGGGTAGCCGATCTCGGTCAGTGAGTTGTTGAGAAATTCAAGCTCCTGACTTAGAGTGTCTACTGTACAGATCTTTTTTGCTCTGCTCGTGAGACATCTGACCAAATTTCTCTTGTACCGGATGGGTGTGAAACTGCAGAAATGAGTATATTGGCATGAAGAGGGGTTTCTTCTATACACGCTTCTACTTAATGTGCCGTCACTTCGTCTGCTTAGCGTGACGTCAAGGAAGCTCAGCTTCTTATCATGCTCGCTTTCACCAGTGAAGGTGATCGCTGGGTGAACACTGTTGAATTGGTCTAGGAGTTCCTCTTTACTAGTGTTTTGGTCTACGATAATGAATGTGTCGTCAATGTATCGGCAATATAAATCCAGTTTCTTAATAGTCTCATTGAGAGGTCCGTTTTCTAGCTTTGCTAGGAAGAGGTCAGCTAAAATCGGGCCTAGAGGCGAGCCCATGGCTATCCCGTCTATTTGTCTATAGTAAGTATTGTTGAAGACAAAATGTACATTCAGAGTGCATCTTAGGAGCAGTTCCCTTAGGCTATCGTTAGGCAGGCCAATGTTGATATGTTTCTTTGATATTTGCTTGCATATAAAATCAATAGTCTCTATAAGTGGTACGTTGGTGAACAAAGATTCTACATCCAATGAGATCATATTTTTCATACTGACATTAATATTTTCTACTTTGGAGATGAAGTTGAAGACATCTTTTACACTATTTCTAACAACTGATTTGTGTAAAGGTTCTAGGATTCGTACTAGCCACTTTGCGATTTTGTGGTAAGGAGAATTGTACATATCTAGAACTGGGCGTAGAGGAAGACCCGATTTATGTACTTTAGGCAAACCATACAATCGTGGTGTAAATGATCCAGTCGGCTTAATTGAATCGTAAATCTCAGTCGTAATTATTCCTTTTTTCGTTAGATCTTTAAGGAAATTGGCCAATTGTCTTTCTACTTTATTATTGATGTCACAATTACTAGCAATTTTCTGAAATTTGCTAGAATCGCTAAGCA